CAGATTTTTTGATTCACTTCAATTTCAAATTTTTTTCTTTAAAAAAATTAATGGAGTTTTTTAATAATGTAAACCACTAAAAATAATCATAAATTGCTAATGTTCACTGCATTTTTAAACCCCAGAAAAAAGTGAAGTTGTAAAATTTAAGTAAATTTTGAAAAGAAAAAAAGAACAGTCAAAATAAGACTGACCTGTTGACATGATAAAAATATGTTTGGCACGTGAAAAAACTAGGAAAAAAAATTGTTCTTATTGTGGAAGTCTTGAAAATTTGCAAATTTCTTTCAGTGTAAGTTTAGTAAATCAAAAAAAAAAGCACAATGGAAAAAATAAGTTGATCTCAGTTTAAAATTTTGAGTGATTAAATAAAATTATTTCATCGTTTAGCAAAATGTTTTTATTATAACTGAAGACAAAATATAAAACTTGAGATGTTTCTAGCAATACAAATTTTATAGTCAAAGTTGTTAAATTAAAATTTCAAATTTGTTGCCAACCTGACGTCGAAAATCACAATCATTTATAGTCACCAGGTATTATATTTGATTTTTTATAAATTACTTGTTTTTTGCTGTTTGTAATATAATTATATTAAAAAAGTTGCTTTTTAATATTTTATGAATTACTACTACTTGAATTACAAAGATTTTCATTTTATTTACAATAAAACAATTTTGTTGCTTTACTTCAGTTTCATTTTTTTTAACTAATGGAGTCTTTTAATAATGTAAACCACTAAAAATAATTTTAACATCTGTTTTAAACTACATTGATGATACATGTTCGCAGCAATTTGAAACGACAGAAATCAGTAAAGTTGAAAAAAAAACTAAATTAAATAAGAAAATCCACAATATGTCAAATAAAAAAACATTTTTAAGAGCAATATACAATAAAACACATTTTGCAATTTACTTGAAATTTATTTTTGTTTTGTGTTAACAATAACAGGATGACCTGTTGACATGGTTCAGCACGTGAAAAACTGAAGAATAAAAAATAGTAGTCCTAAAAATTGCCAAATTGCTTTTACTGTAAGTTCTGCTTTAGCAAATCCTAATGGAAAAAATAAGTTACAAATTCAGGATATTTTAAAGCTCCACTGACTGAAAAATCTTTTTGATCTTTCTCTCAGTTTGCAATTTTACGTAAAATTTTGAGTGATTAAATAAAATTATTTCACCGTTCAGCAAAATGTTTTTATTATAAATAAAGACAAAATATAAAAATTGAGATGTCCTTGGCAACAAAAACTTGCTAAATTAAAATTTGAAATTTGTTGCCAAAAAATCACAATCATTTATAGTCACCCTGTACTATATTTGATTTTTTCATAAATCACTTGTTTTTTTCTGATTTTTAACATAAATACATTTAAGAAGTGTCTAGCAAGTTGTTTTTTTAATATCTTATGAATTACGACTACTAGATTTATAAACCTTTTAAGAACAATATACTATAAAACAGATTTTTT